GCCACGTGCTAGGACGCAGGCAGCCGCCGGCCCCTGGCCCTGTCCCCGCGGCCCCAGGCCCTTTGCAAACACTGCTCCGAAGCAACTCTGCTCAGCGGAAGCAAATCTGAGAAGCTCAGACCCAGCTGAGTGCATGCCGGCCTCTCCCACCCACGGCCAGGCCGGCCCTCTTCCGGGCCCTCTCGGGGCATCCCGGTGACCGCGGCTCCAGGCAGTGACGCCTGGGGGAAGCCAGGCACACGGCACAGACAGGTAGGCTGACTGGGGCCGGGGGCAAGCGGGGCGCGGATGCAAGCGAGGGCCACCCCACCTACCTGGACATGGAGGTGTCGACCGACAGGGAGGGTGGGTAGGGCTGCCTGAAGCCACCCGAGACGGGGTACACAGGCTGACCCTGCCTGAGGTTACAGAAGAGAGCAGCCGTCAAGCGCGAGCCACCGCCGCCACCCAGCACAGGGCAGTGGCATCGGCGGCGTCTGCAGACCGGGACCCTTCCTCACCCTCCACCCGCTCAGAGCCCTCCCTCCCTCCGCTGGGGAAGCAAAAAGCCCAGCCACACACACTCCCCACCCCGTCAGCTCTGGAGAAGGCAGGCACTTCCCAAGTGCTCACTGAAGCTGGGTGGCACATGCCTGCCACCCCAGTGCTCTGGAGGCTGAGGCAGGAGGATTGCCATGAGGTCAAGGCCAGCCTGAGCAAGTAGCAAGACTGTACCTCAAAAAACAAAAGCTTACTGAATATAACTCGGCCCTAAGAACAGGGAAATATCCCCTCAGCTTAGTGAACTGCGAATCCTGGAGAATGTCAGAGAACGGAAGGAAGGAGAAATAATATTTTATTTATATAAAAATGAATAGGGCTGGGGATTGAGCTCAGTGGTGCTGCTGCCTGCCTCATCAGCGAAAGGTCCTGAGTCCAATCCTTGGTACCAAAAATAAAATAAAATGAAAATGAAAAATTAAACATTTCAGCCGGGCGTGGTAGTGCACGCCTATAATTCTAGCACTTGGAGGCTGAGGCAGGAGGATGGATGTGAGTTCGAGACCAGCCTGGGCTACATAGTGAGTTCCAGGTCAGTCTCCACCACATAGTGAGACCCTGTCTCAAAAAACAAAAAAGTAAATAAATAAACACTTCAGAAACGTTGCACCTTTATCCCCTTCTATCCACATGTTGGAGTCATGAAACAAAAGACTAAATCAATACAGTTATTTCTCTCTACCCCAAGAAACTCCTCATTCCCTCTATTGTTTTTTCCCACATTTCTCATTTACGCAGTCTGCATATCCAGCCACCCGCCAGGGACCGCGGTGGGGCACTGCCTAAGTAGCGGGGGTCGGACACAAGCACTGGCTGAGTCGACAGTGCAGAGGCTCCCCCGCCCCAGCCGAGGTGCTGACTGAAGGTCGGGGCAAAGAGCAGGAGAGGGCGAGACCCAGAGCGGTGTGGGCGAGGGCAGCTTGCGGAAGGACAGACCTGTCCGCCTGTCCAGGCAGGTAGACGGGGCCACCGTATGGGGACGGGACAGGGAGCCAACGGGGGAGAGACGCTGCCTTCCTGTCCCACGGGGAGAACGGAGGAGGAGTGTGCCTTCTCCTCACGGGCAGCTCCTTTACCTTTACGAGTTTAGGAGACGGGGGGCGGGTGGGCAGTAAGAAACGTGTAGGAAAAAGCAACCACTGCGAAACAAAGAATGGCATTTGGACTCTGAACAACACAAAGGCCCCCGGTTGGCATTTTGCTCCTGTGAACTGCAATCGGGTGATTCTAACATGGAAAAGATGCTTTCCCGCACGTCACCGAACCTCTCTGGCTGGGTGCTGTGTGCTCTTTTGTCCACTTAGAAGTAAAAGAAGCTATGCAGCGTGTCCAAGTCCATGTTTCAAAAGGTTAAGTTGTTAATTTAAAAAAACAAAAAACAAAAACCAAAAAAAAGGCCTGGGAAAAGCAAGCAACCGAGCACTAACTCTGAGAGCACAGTGAGTGCCCAAAGCCACAAACCAACCCATGAAACTGCGAACTTCAAAGCAAAGCATTTTCTACCCTTGTTAGTAAAGGGGTTCCGTCCATTTCAAAGTCTATGTCTTAAACGAAGGAAAGTTAGCGCCAGGTGTGAAGGCCCAGGACAGACGCGAATCCCAGGTCCGCCCGGCAGGGGCGGGCAGGGTCTTACCAGCCGAGAGGAGGGGTGATCTGTCCCACGCCGCCCGGAGACAGCGGGTAGAAGGTGGGGATGTCGGGGGCCGGCGGGTGCCTGGGCATGCCTGCGACAGAGCAGAGGGGCAGTGTCTGTGTCACAGAGCCCCGGCAGAGAAGCGAGGAAGTGCTTTCTGCCTGGACACGCGCGGCCAGCACTCGCGCCTGCAGGCTCCGGGGTTCGCAAGTCGGGCCGGGAGTGTTTCTGAAGACGTCAACATCGGGAAAACCTGGGTCTTCAGCAGCTCCTGGAGGAATAAACCCGCCGCCAGGAACACAGTCACCCAGACAGACTTTGGTGATTCCTTCTGCCCTCGTTCTTTTTACGTGGGTGAAGAAAACGGCATCGTTTCGGGGAGGGAAACTGCCGATCCTCCCTGTGCTCAGGGATGAGGTTGTTTGTTGCCATCCTAGCTTTCTGGTTGCCTCCGGGGCACGCAGACTTGGGGCCCTGCACTACCTGGGAGGATCGGGGTTAATGAGAGGTCATCGGCAGCCCGCATGGTCACGCTTGATGCCATTTCATTTGGTCTCTGCCACCTCAGATCCCACTAAGCCTTCACATGGGGCATCCTCTGGGATCCAGGGCCGCGCTACTCCAGACTAGCTGTGTCCCCAAGCCACTGCCCCCCAGCTGTGAACACCACCTAGATCTCCCTAATTCTCCACCCGAATGACACCTCGTGGACAGCTGACCTCAGGTACAGAAATCGCCAAGTCCCCGAAGCAAAATAGAACAAGGCAATTTCATAAAATGTAAAACTTGATGAAGCTGGGTGAAAATGCTTCTGAAAAGAGCCACACACATCACTTCTCACAGATAATCGTGGCCTGAAAAGATCACTGCCAAATCTATGTTCCCCTCACGCCCAGGTCCAACACCACGGATCCTGGCTAAGAGGTGGAATTAGGGGTGCATCTGGAGATTTAGGGGTGTTCTGTGATGACCTAAAGTGCCCAAAGATCCTGAAGGCTTTGACCAGACTGGAATGACGTAAGAAAATGCTGCCTTCAAAGCTGGGGCTAATTTGACTTTGAAGTTTGAACAAACTACTCAGTCCTTACAGGAAGTAGGCAGGAAGAAGAAAGGTCTTCATCTCTCAACAATTTGCTGTTTTTAAAACAACTGTCTCCAATCTTTTTAAACGTATTTTTTCTTTTGCTAGAAATACTGATTCTTTTGACCCCAGCAGACCCCAGGTGCTTTGCTCTGGGATTTCCTTCTTGGGTCTGGGAAGGTTCCAGGGGCCTAAGGTGGTGACTGCTCAAGTCTCACCTCAGGGGGAAGGTTTTCTGTTTTGGTTTTTATTTTTTAACTTGTTGCCTCACTTGCCCTGAGATCCAGAGGCCTCCAAATCTCAGGGTCTCCTGAGTTTGAAGCAAAAACAGAAAACAATACCAGACCAGCCCAGTAAGGCATTAGACGCTTGGCAGACGTTTTTATTATACGAACTTGAAAATCATGTTTAGGAGTCACAGACATACTGAGTGACTACTAAACCTCTGCCTCCCAGATGCGACACGCAGGCCCTCTCTGGGTACTTGAAATACATTCTGTTCTGGCACACAGAGAGGCGACTGCTGTGGCTATCCACCCTCCTCCACGTTGTACGGCACCCCAAGGGGCCATGTTCCCATGGCACACAGCTGTGAACTGGGTGGGTGTTTTTCTGCTGGGAGGAGGAGGGAGGAAAGCGGTGTTTACATCACACCTGCTGTGTACCAGGTCTGGGGTGGGAATCTGGGTTCTGCTGAAACCCTACTCACTCTCCTAAGGCCCCTGTCCTGGGCAGTTCCACTCACTTGGACAGCGCCAAGAAATCAATTTCTCCTTGGAGTCTTCACCTACTTACCTGTGTTCTTAATGTGGAACTTGGGCGTTAGGCATTTCATTGTACTATTGTACGGGCAAGTGATTTCCTTTACGCACAGATTGCTAGAACGAAAAGACTGCCCTGTACCAATCTGGCTATCACATCGTGACGTGATTTAGCAAACAAGTGAAATAAAAAGAGTTAAAAAAGACCCACTTCCTAGGCTGGGCCAATACAGTTGACCATTTTGCACCTAAATATGAGTGCTTAGCTTTGCTGTATGAGCAGAAAATGAAACTCTGCCTTCGAAAGAGCACACAAGTCTTTGATTTCCTGTTTCCAAAGAAGTATGTGCCTCTCTGCTCACTGCTGTGTCCCGAAGATACACTGATGTCACCTGTTAGACCAGTATCACCCAGCAGTTGTTACATTCAGCACAGCATTAGAGATTTTAAATTCTCATAAGTCAGTCTGTGAGTGTGAGCAAAATAATTTTGGAATTGGACTGTGAATGTGCCATTCACCAGCTATGAATCTTTGAGAAAGTTCTTTAATTAACCATCACTGTTTTATAACATCTGAATAATAACAGAAGCTGTCATGAGTGTATGGAATGCAGAAAAGTGCCTGGCACAAAGTATAAGTGTTTGTTTTTATTTATAGGGATAGAACAGGTAAGACAAAGGTATAGCCCGTATTTTACCAAAGCTCTTTCCTTTTAATAACTACCAGACTGGCAACGGGCAGAAAGAAGTTATTGGCATTAACTTCCTTTCTCTTCCCTACACACACACACACACACACACACTCACACTCATGTGGTGCATGTGTAACTAATACAGCAACTCCTAGGGAATTAACTGGGGTTGTTCTGTTTTTCCACAAACGAGGACGTGTCTCCAGGGCCCATTCTATGAGCATGAGTCTACCCTCTGGCTCTGACAGGGTGGAGCACCGACCTGCTCGTCTGTCCCAGCAAAGCTGACCAGGCCGCCAGGACTGTGGGCTGGCGTCTCAGCCCCATCTTGATCCCCATGCTGGGTACTCAGACCAAAACAAGGAAAAGCAAGAGACCCGGTGAGCTTTGATCTTGGCCTTGAAAGTATGCTGGGGAATTATGGAAACTCAGCATCACAGCAGCATTTACAATATCCCCAGAGGCTCTGGGGCACGAAGTGCAAGGGTGGATATTTACATTTTAAAAATTATAGTAAAAAACGCATTACCACAAATCTCCCTTACAGTACCTCCTCTCACTTCGAACACACCTACCCACCGTTCTTGCCACTTTCTGAAGCAGTTTTTCTCCCTGAGTGTCTTTGCAAAGTATGATCAAAAGTACAGAGAATGCTGCTGCCGAGCGCCACCCAAATGAAAGGCAGCTGCTGAAGACAGGACGCTGCATCCTCATCCCCCGAGTCACCGGATTTGGCACCTGTGACTTCCGGCTCTTCCCAAAGCCACAGTGGCCGTGGAAGGGAAATGTTTGAATCCATTCTGGACATCGAGGCAGCCAGGACAGTGCAACTAGAGACCCTCAGGAAAGAGGCCTCCAGAGCTGCTGCGGGAAGTGCCCGAGCCGTGGGAAGAGTGTGTTAGAAGTGAGGGCTGGGTAATCTGAGGGGTTCACGCAGTGTGTCCTTTACTACCGTAGAATTCATATGGACACACATTATGTCTCCCCCCTCACACCTCATACACAAATCTCAGGACAGATCTATAATTTCAAACAAGATCTTTATATTAAAGCAAGCACAACAATATATTGAAGACCAAAGTGACAAAAATCTGTGAACAAAAGAGTCAGCAAGCAGACCATTTCTGGTCATGCCTCTTGGCCCTCCCCTGTAGCTCTGCAGTTTATTTTTTGTTTGTTTTGTTTTTTAAGTTCAGGAAGCAATGGTATAAATTACAATGTGGCAAAAGAAGGCTGGAAGGCAGTAGGGATGGAACCAGGAAACATAAATGTGATCGGTAATCAGTTACACACCTGTCTCTTTACACTTGAATTCTCAATAGGAAAGCTACTGCACCATGAAGTGTTATTCTTTTGAGTAAGTTGTCTGGCAGGGCTTCCAATGGGACACAGTAAGCACTGCTTGTGAATAATTAAACACCGCTGGATACCTGCTGCGTGGTTTGTGTCTGTCGGGCATCACATCCATCCTATCTCAGACCTGAACTCACAAGAGACCGAGATCACTCTGCAGATCTTCCCCGCTCTGCCTTCCTCCTCAGGCTTCTGCCCTAACGCCCTTTCTCTCAGTGCATCTGGACACCTGTCCTTCCTGTACTTCCTGTGAAGCCCAGACGGTGACTCTTGCCTTTGCAGGGGAAAGGCCTTGGGATCTACTCAAGTGCAAGTGCAGCATGAGCTAAGTCTGAAGGAAGCTGAAGGGCTCCAGGTGTTGGGTGTTTAACCTGGGAGTGGGATGGCCCTCTGAACACCGCTCGTTCCTAATTTGCGACAGGGTCTCGCTATGTGGGTCAGGCTGGCCTCGACGCACTGAGATCCTCCCGCCTCAGCCTCTGGAGTGCTGGGCTACACAGTTGTGCCCCAGCGCCTGGCTGAACACCACTTGTCTTTGCACACTCGTTCACGCTGCTGTGCATCACAAGCCAGGCTGGACAGAAGGGTGGAATCCAAGCACTGGCAAATGCTACGGCTTTACCTTTTGCTCCTTCTTGAACTCTGAACACCCTGCTCAAGTCCGGCCACGCTGGGGACGTGGGGCAGAAGTCGGACAGCCACGGTGCTTCATCCTTCCACCAGCCCGTGCCCAGACTCAGAAGGAGAAACCTGGACACTTAGTGATTCAGGCTAGACCTTCTCTGCTGTGCTTCTTCCGCACAGGAAGTGGAAATGAAGTCTGGAGTTCTCGTAAAGGAGCCCAATAGAATCCGTTCTGCTTTGACTTCAACAGAGACAGCGTGTGCTTACGTATGTACAGTAGTGCTGCTAAATAACAGAAGAGGACAAAATACTGAACAGCTGGAAGAGCTGCCGAGGGCTCAGCGCAACGTCTGAAGTCACAACCTCCCACTCTGCCCCTTTTCTGCTGTTTAAAAGATCATCACTACCGTGGATGCTTTGCACACTTGTCTCTCTTAGCCAAGGCTCTAAGAACCGTGGTGGACTGACCAGTGGGTGGCTCGAACGCCCACCTGAACTGAATCAGCGTAGTCCGGGCCTGGAGGATCCTCCTGAGGATTGTTACCAATAGCCAAGGAAGAGACCTGGAGGGAGGACCGTGGGCTGTCGATTCTCTAGGAGGAGCTCCCTGCAGACGGCTTTCCTGAGGCGAGCTCGGCTGTTGTCGTCATTGGAGGAGCTCGGAGCCTTGTAGTCGCCGGGACTGGTTGCTGCTCTCATCAGGGGAGCTCTGATCTTCACCGTGAGCATCGCTTCCTGGCTCCAGTGTGGATCCCTCAGCCTGGCAGCACAGATCTTCACCCCATCAGCTCAGGTTTTCTGGCTTCCACCACTGGCCTTTGGGCCTTCCTGGTGCAGATCCTCAATACAGACAAGCATGAGACACTGCCGTGGGCTCCAGGCCACTGGCTGGACTTGAGGAGGACACTGCCTTGGACTCTAAGCCTCTAGCTGGATTTGTGTGGGACACTGCTGGGATCCAAGCCCTCCGCTGAATGCTCTGGGCCTCTAGTGTGCGGTTAATCTCTTGCCCTCCTTTGCATTTGACTCTTTGGGTGATTATAACAAAATAATCTTATAAACTGTATGTCCTGTAGTACCTGTATTCCCTTGCCCAATCCCTCTGACTACAACAAATAGTGGAAAATTCCAGAAATAAACACTTTTATAAGTGTTAAATTGAGCCCGTCCTGATGGATCCTCCACTGTCCCATTCTGCTCTGAGATGTAAATCACCTTCTGTCCCTGCATCCAGGTGTCTACACTGCCTGGCCCTGGGCACTGAGTAGCCTTCCGGGTCCATTGATCTCAGCAAGACCTTACAGTGCCTGTGTTAAAGTAATCCTTATTTTACTTGAAAATGGCCCTGAAGGCAAGAGGAGTTACACTGGGCCATCAAGATACACGGAGCTGGAGTCACCAGATACTTCCTCCAAGTGGAAAGGTGCAAGTTTGTGCTTGATAAGGAAAGGGAAAAAAATACGGTGATGCTACAAAGATCTACAGTAAGAAAAAATCATCTGTGAAATTCTAAAGAAGGAAAATGTAGTTTTGCAGTCTCGCTATGAACTGCAGAAGTTACAGTCACAGCTCTCAGCGGCGCTTGGTCAGGATGAAGATGGGCTACGGGTGCGGGCGGCACCAGCTGGGGCCAGGGCCAGGTCCCCGCGGTGAGGCCCCGCCTGCCGGTGTGCACCACACAGCACTGTGGGCAGATTTTCAGAGCCATCACTTGGAAAATGGCCCTACTATGCTTTCTTTACTATCAGTCCTGAAAAGGAAGCAACAACGAACTTCGAGGGGTGTAAAGCACTGCTGGCCAGGGAGCCTCTCCTCTCCTGCAGCCACCCTCGGCCCAGGCCCTGAGTGCAGCAGAGGCGCCGGAGGGGGGGTGCTCAGCTCAGGGCCCAGCGCCGAACTCACCTTGCTTGGAGCTGACATCGGACCGGATGTGTGACGGGTGCGACCCCGGGGAGAAGTGCTCGTCGCTGTACGTGATGAGGGGCGTGAGGGGGTGCACGGCGTGCGAGGGCTGCACCACGGGCACTTTGCTGGACTGCGGAGAAAGCACAAGGTGCATGGTTAGGGGGTGCCTGGGTCTTGTCTCCCCTCCAGTGTCACCCAAGGGCGGTGACCAGCGGTCAACACGAGACACACCCAGGGCCCTCGGAACGCAGGACCAAGCAGTCCCTAGGGGAACTCGCCCTGAGTCCTGAGCGTCCCCCAAAGGGACGGCTTACTTTTGCAGGGCCCCGGACACAGGCGGGTCACCCGGTCCCATGAGCGAGCGGCACAGAGCTACGCTTGTTTCCCTAACCCAGAATCTCAAAGTACAGGTACAGCACAGCAGCGTTTTCTAAACATCTTTGGATTTCATCAGCCTGCGGCCTGTGCCGCTTCTGACTGTAGACCAAGCTGAAGTCCACCACAGCGTGAGGCAGACGGCACCGTGAGGTGGGCTAACCGACGGCAGGTCATTTTAGAGGAACTGCACCTACAGGACTCTGCACGCTTGGGGAAGGCTGAGAGCGGATGTCAAACGTCCTCACCGCAAAAGTAACTGTCGTTGGGCAGGTTCGACCATTCCACAATGAACACATACTGCAAAAACCTCCATTATTATACCTGAGGAATATAATTTTACCTGTTTCTTTAAAAACAATAAAGAAGAAAAAGGAATTCTACCCTTCCCTCAGAGAAAGGAAATGGAACACAGTTACACACAGGTAAAGCACGGTTCTAATGTTGAACCCAATTACTAATTACAGCGGCCTCCGGAAGGGCTCCAGCAGCGAGTGGTGTGGACTTAGGAGGAACGGAATGTAAGGAGGCCGCTAGTTCGGGCACGCCTTCCCCTCGGCCCTGAGTCAGACGGCCTGGCTGGACGGGGACCGCATCCCACAGCTGTGCCCGAAATCAGTTTCTCCAGCAGATACTCACCCTACTATTATTATTACTATTATTATGATTATTACTATATTTAAAAAAGAACAGAGCCTGAGACAGCACACAACTCACAGCAGTTCAAATGCAGTCTGTGTTGGCAGAGGAGGCCACACCTCCGGCGTGCTGACTCTGAAGCTGACGTTTGCTGTATTTCTACAAGTCGCACGCTGACGTACGCGGCCCCAAGCGGAGCCTGCCCTGGGAAGGCCAGGAGCCACGGGCCCGGCACACCTCACTCCGCAGCCACCGTCTCCCTCTCCACCCGGAAGCAACCTGCCAGGCAGGGAATCCCCTCCTCTGGGGACAACGATACAATCCCACTGTAGATGTTCTCCACTTTGTAATTCTCAGCTCCTCTTCAATGGCCAAACGTGTGTGACTCACAACCCTGGGCGTTGATGAAATCCAGTACCATCAGCAAAACCACCCGATGCTTCTCCACACACCCCAGCACGGCCGTGCCTATAAATGTGTAAAATGTTTTTAAAAATTCTTTTAATGCTCCTCCAGGGTGAATGACGCAGTGTCCCCAATACACAGAACCAGGAATGCACATGCTAGAGGAGGTGCGGCGGGGACAGGAGGGCCTGATTATAAATTCTCTTTAAAATGGAGAAGCAGCACAATACCTAGATGCTACAAGGAACGTCTGGACTACGGTTTAGAGGGGCTACTCTGAGTTTCATTTTGAAAGTGTAAGATTCTTGCCAAATCATCTGCAAAGGTATTTTCTGAGGGTGTTATAGGTGGGCGCGCAGAAACCTGGAAATACGTCCAGCGGACCCCTCCCGCCCCTGCCTCGTTTCCAGAGCACCACCTCGAGGGCCTGCAGCCGCAGATGGCATCTTAATGTCTGACCCCTCCCTCGAGCCATGCAGCTCAGAAGCCCACGCCGTGAATTTTTACTAAATTATGCCATCCTCCCTCTCCTCTTAATTTTACGGTTTTCAACACAGATTTGCTTTCCTGTGGGAAGGAGATAAGAAGCCGAGGATTTTAATTTAAGACCTGGCCTTGTCTTATATTTTGCAAGATGGATAGTGAAAGCAGTGTGAGTAGATGCGTCAAAGCCGACACGGATTACGTCCATTTTGGTGGCCAGATAATAAAAGTACCATGAAATCTCAGTAACGTGTGAGCGGAATTCTAAGGGTCCCACTTCTGCCTCCTGCCGACTGTCTCCACCGTGTGTGTACACGGAACAGAGTGGATTCCAGCCCCACGGCACATACGTGGCACAGAGCTGACCCCGAGCCCCGCAGCCCCATTCCGGGCCCGGGACGAAGGACCCAGTCACCGCCTCGGCTCTGGGGACAAAGGCTACGCCATGACTGCACGGCTGTGTGCACTCGAGCACCTTTAGGGGCACCGAGATGTCCCCAACATGACTGTAGCACCGACGAGAAACACAAGGTGAGGACCCCATTCTCCGGCGGGACTGACAGCCACGGTCGGGTAACAGGGTCAACAAGTGCGTTCTAAAAATAACAAGAGAAATCTGAAAAGCATCGAGCGTTGGGAAGAAGGTGAAGTGGCTGTGGGTGGCGGTGCAGACCCAAGACGGGGCCTGCAAGGAGTGCCAAAGCGGCAGGACGTCAGGACCGGGCAGCACGACCCTGCCCCGTACCCACCCGGGGGTCGCAGGGGCACTGGCGACGCCGAGAGGACAGAGCCCCGGCCTCTCCACCAGCCGAAAGTCAGCCTCGGGTCTTACACGGCGCCGGGGCCGGACACCCAGAGCCCACTGCCTGTGACCCAGGCCCCTGACCCACGCGGGGGGAGGTGGCGGTGCCACCCATCTCACCACCCCTGGGCAGCAGTAACCCTCTCCTTCCAGGAGGGGGTGGGCCGGGTTGGAAGAAGCTAAGTGACTTACGGCCCAGAGATGAGCCAGGCTTCCCAGGCCTGGAGGCGGAGCTGACCATCGGACCATCCACGATGCCTGTGGCCTGTCCTGACCCAGGGACACAGCGGACAGAGAGGGGCTCAGCACGGGGTCAGAGCTGCGGGGACGCAAGGGCCGCCTTTCCCCAGGACCAAGCTGTTCCCAGAGGCTGCCTGGCGGCTGCCCAGCCACACTCCACAGGTGACCGCCTCTCTGGCACCACAGCAGACAAAACCCACACCGCCTGTGGACACCACATGGGGGCCTGAGAGCCACCAGAACAGCGTTTACGGAGTGACCGCTCACCACTGGCAGGAGCCCACGGTGCCGAGAGAGTGGCCGGGCCCTAGGGACCTGCTTCTGGGATGGCCAAGCTCTCAGTCTCCTGGTGGGAGGGGCCCCGAGCCCCAGACCTCAGCCCTACAATCCCCTGCCAGAGCAGCGCCTGCCTTCGGAGGGAGAGGCATCGGGGACCTAAAACACCACCAGCAGGCTGGGTGAGGAGCGATCCCATCTTGCCCTGGCCTTCTGGTGCACTGGACTTTTTTACTGAGCCCTGAAGACAGCTGGCACCCGTGAAATGCCACGTCCTCTCCCGGTGTCAAACCCAGGTCTTCTAAGCCCTGCACATCCAGGAAGAAGACTCCTCTGAAAGGACACACTGGCCCTCCACCAGCGCGGCCCAGTCCACGCTCTGCACTGAGGACAGCTCCGTCTAGTGGCACACAGGGGCACCAGGCACAAAACCTGTCCGCTGCCCCGGCGGTCAGCAGGAGACACCACCGTGGCACCGTTTCTTATCCAGGCCCGCGAGAGGGTGATGCAGAGGTCCTGGGGCCGAGGTCCAACCCCAGGTGCTCAGAGGCGTTTCTCTAGCTGTGAGCAGGGAACCCCTGAATTTCTCCCACTGTCCATCCTCATCTGTGAGACGGGTGGGCACTGACTCGCGGGATAACAAGCAACAAACGGAACACCCAACTCGGTCCTCACACACGGTATGTCTGATAAACCCCAGCAGAGTGAATTTAAAAGAGGATATTTCTCCAGAAGGTGAAATGGAGCGTGGTTTCTCTTACGTGAGCAACCCAAAGTATAAACAGTGCAAAGAGAAACACAAGAGGTTGGGGACTGGGAACAGAGGCAGCTCTTGCAGACGGAGAGAGGAGGAGCGGAAGGGGACGAGAGGACTAAGAGGAGACGCGAATACGTCCCAGCGTCCCACGCGGACAGCGCTCTCCGTGTACTCGCTGTGTGCCCCACATACGAGCTGATGAAAACACAAGGGCAGAAGAAAAGGGGCCAGCAGATGAACCGGACCCGCCACAGCTCCAGCCACTCAGAGACACGTAAGGTGGAGGCCTCTTCCTCCAGCTTCACCCACGGCCCCAACACGCTCCCTGCCCGCGCCCCTGCGGTCCGGCCCCGAGACCCAGAGCCTCTGCCACGCGGTCCGGCTGCAGGACCCGGGCACCGCACATGCTCCGGTCCGGCTCCCCCTCTCCATGCTGCAGGACCGGCCTCAGCACCAGCTTCGTGCCAGGAGAGCCAAAACCCTCCTGTCTGTACCTCCCAGCGGCTCTCAGGACCCTCGAGAGAACCCTGAAGACCCCAAAGACGCGAACGGGCTTTTGTCTGAGTGGGTTTGTCTATCAATATTTCTCCTACTAGAAATTAAGGAGAAATCTAAAATACTGAGTTCATTTTTAAATGAACGGGGCAAACCCATTACAGGTTAACAAAAAAACATACGTTAGCCTGTCTTCCCTCCCCTGTAGGCTGCTGGGCGGAGGACCTCCAGATGGAGTCAGGGAGGCCGGGCTTCCCTGACCTCTGGGCCCCCACCTCACAGCAGCCACAGCTCGGGGAGCCTCTCCGAGAGCTGAATCTCTAGTGGCCCCTTTCATGATGGACACAGGTTTCCTCTACGCTATGTTTGTTTGGTTTTTGAGACAGGGTCTTGTGGGGTAGCCCAGGCTGGCCTTGAACTCCCAATGATTTTCCTGCCTCAGCCTCCTGAGCGCTGGGATTATGGGTGAGCACCACCGCGCCCCACTTGAAGAGAAAGTAGTGTAGGGTGGGAGAAGCTATGGAGGGTCACAGGGCGAGGCCAACAGTCAGCTAAGATAAAGATTATAATTTAACCTTTCCCGTTTCTTCTTCACCAGAAGCCACCGCGAGCGAATCCCGCGTAGACGGAAAGTGCCACCGCGAGTGCTGTTTAACTT